AAGATTCCTTCCCAAGAGGAGCAACAGGACATCCAAAAGCAAAGATGGAAGAGGCAGCAGGGACTCTGGGCCCCCCGATTGCCAAAGACTTGGAGCTATGTCCACAGTAAGCAATAGCTGGCCGTAATGAAGACAAGCACAGTGTGAGGAAATGGTGTGCCCACAAAACGTGCCTCCAGCACCAAAACGCCCAGCCTTGCTTTAAGGTTCAACCTAAAACACTGCACTGAGCAGAGATCTGGATTTTCACCTTGCCTACTGCCATGTTAGCTGTAGCTGCATTCTTTTCGATTCCCATCCTCCTTCTTCCTCCGTCGTCCTCGCCTCTCCTCCGTGAGGCCAGACTGTAGCCTACTCCTCCCCTCTCCTTTTCCTCTCTCCTCTTCCTCCTCCTCCTCCTTCCCGTCTTCCTTCTCCTCCTCCTCCTCCTCCGTCTCCTCCTCCTCCTCCTCCTCCTCTTCCTCCTCCTCCTCCTCCTCTTCCTCCTCCTCTTCCTCCTCCTCCTCCTCCTCTTCCTCCTCCTCCTTCTTTTCCTTCTCCTCCTTTTCTTTCTTCATCTTCTTCTATATTTTGGAGCTGTTTTTAAGTGCTTTACATGTATGGACTCATTTAATCCCCACCATTGCATAAGATCAGCTCAATCTTATCCCCATTTTATAGACTGAAAGCGAAGGCGTAGAGAGGTTCTGGAACTTGCACAAGGGCTACCGGATATAAATGGTGGAACAAGGATTCAAACTCAGGCAGCCTGGTTGCAGAGCCAGACTCTGAAGCTCAATGCTATAAACTGTGTCTTGCCTTACACCAGTGGTCGGCAAACTCATTGGTCAACAGAGCCAAATATCAACAGTACAACGATTGACAATTCTTTTGAGAGCCAAATTTTTAAAACTTAAACTTCTTCTAACGTCACTTCTTCAAAATAGACTCGGCCAGGCCGTGGTATTTGGTGGAAGAGCCGCACTCAAGGGGCCAAAGAGCTGCATGTGGCTCGTGAGCCGCGGTTTGCTGACCACTGCCTTAGGCGACAATCACTTCCCCGCTCTGGGTCTCAGCTTTCACATCTGTAAAATGGGGCCCTCTGGCCAGCAGTTCCACGTCTAAGCCTCTTTCTTGGTCCCAAGTTCTTTGAAGATGTCCACTTGTATGTGACTTCTCTGACTGCTCTACCGCTCTGGCCCCCACACCGTCCCCTCCGACACCTGGACTATGCCCACCTCCCTGGGGTGTCCTGTCCAGTCTACAGAAGCCCCTCAGCACAGGGACCGTGGCCTGGCCCAGCCATGGCCAGACACTGTCTGTCCTAAGCATTGGTTTACAAAGACCAGGGTTTGGCAAACATTTCCTGTTAAGGGCCGAAGAGCAAATACTTTAGATTTTGAGATCAAGCCTTGTGTACCCTGTGCCATTGTAACAGGACAACAGCCATAGAGAGTACACAAATCCATGAACGGAACCATGTTCTAATAAAACTTTATTTGTAAAATCAGGCGGTGGACAGGATTTGGCCTAAGGGCCATAGCTTGCTGACCTGTAGCAACGATGAACATCTGAGTTTCTGCTCTTCGGAGTGGCCGAGGGTAGCGGAGGAATGAACTGTGTGTGGCTAACCTAAGACCCGGCAGGACTTGCTAAGTGTGTTTGCAGACCTGCAGAGCCTCCAGAAGAGACCAGGTGGGTTCTGACTTGAGGATGTGGACGGGCACTTGGGCTTGGCGTGGAGTGATGGGTAGAATTTCCATAAGCAGAAGTGCAGGCATCCGCCAGGGCAGGCAGTGTGCTGGCAATGGGGCCTCCAGAGGGTCAGGATGGGGGTGGACCTGGGACCCAGACAATGAAGACTGACTTCTGTGCTTTTCTCATGCCTAGAGAAGGGTTCTTTCTTCATTTAACTCAACAAATGTCCTGAGTGCCTACTATGTGCTGGGCATAGGTGTAGGCAGGAGAAGATAGATAAGATCTGCAACTTTCATTTTTATTGCATTGTCAGCATTTGCACAGAGATTTAGGTCTGACTTTATCTTGTCCTCATAAGCCAGTGGTTCTCAACCTTTCTAATGCCTTAATCTTTGAATACAGTTCCTCATGTTGTGGTGACCCCTAACCATAACATTATTTTTGTTGCTACTTCATAACTGTAATTTTGCTACTGTTATGTGCGGGGGGGGGGGGGGGGGGGGGGGGGGGCTGAAGCTGCAGGGATCTCTCTCTTCCATGTCCTGCATGGAAAGAGAGATGAAAGAACCGGTTCTAAGTGGAGGTGCCCAGGGATTGAGAAATATTAAAAATAGAGAAAACACAGAGATAGATTTTAAGCTGGGAGCTGAGAGCTGGGAGGGCCGCAGATGTCCTCTGCTGGAGAGACTGACTGACGACCCCCTAAGCCACGCAGCACATGTATTTATACTCCAATCCAACAAGGGGTTTCACAGGAAAACAAGGAGCCTGGGAGGGCCCAGGTCCCACCCACTCCTTCCTCCTGGACAAACACAAGTCAGGAACTAAGACCATCTCCACACTCCCAGGGTGGGAGTGCAACTGACATGACTACGCCAATATCCGGGCCCAGTCAACAACCACCTAAAGAATGTCCAGGTGTCTTCCCATTTGGCCTCTACAGTTATGAATGGTAATGTAAATATATGTGTTTCTGATGGTCTTAGGCTCTACAGCAGCGGTTTTCAACTTGTGGGTTGAGACCCACAGCTTGAGAATCACTAGCAGGGTTGCCTAAGACCATCGCAAAATGACAGTTATAAAGTAGCAACGAAAATAATTTTATGGTTGGGGGTCACCACAACATGAGGAACTGTATTAAAGGGTCGAGGCATTGTAAAGGTTGAGAACCACTGTATAAGCAGAGAAATTGAACGAGTTGCTAACGTGATGTCTAGTGAACAGTAGCTGCTCCTATTCCAGAGTCCAGGCTATGGAGCAACAGACTAATTCCTAGCTGCCTAAGGAGTCTCTCTCCTGGGAGGTCTGGAAAGACGACTCCTGCTCTTCTCTCCGTATTAGTTTGCCGGGGCTGCTGTAACAGAGTGGCTTCAACAACAGAAACGGATTGCTCTGGAGGCTAGACCAACAGAAACGGATTGCTCTGGAGGCTAGACGTCAGAGATCGGGCTGGTTCCTTGGAAGGCTGTGAGAAAAAAGCCTGTCCCAGGCCCCCAGCTTCTGGAGTCTGCTGGCAGCCTTCGGTGTCCCTGGCTTATAGTCATACTACCTCTGCCTCTGTGTTCATCTTCACAGGGCGCTGGCCTTGTGCGTTTGTGTTGCTATCTGCTCCCCCCTTTTAAGGACATTAGCCATATTGAGAAGGGCCCGTCCACCCCAACAACCTCATTTTAATTTGATCATCTCTGTAAATACCCTATTTCCAAATGAAGGTCAAGATTTGAGGTACTGGGGGCTAGAACTTCAACATAACTTGTTTTGAGAACACAGTTCAACCCAGAACACCTCTCCCAACACCCCCCCCCCCCCCCCAATATTCCATTGCTGATTGAATGGAACCTTCATTTCCTGGGCCACTCCTTCATCTCTTCACCAGCTGGTATGGTGGCCAGAATTGCCTGGACCAGGCAAGGCTAGATGCCACAGGCCCATCAGAGATGTCCCGGCTGCCAAGGAGGTTGCTCTGGACCTCCTCCATTAGCTTCTGCAAGGAGGTGGGGGAGGCCAGGATGTATAAACCAGAGGGGGGGCTGCTGGAAGATGTGCAACAAATAAATGCCTGAGCCACCGGCACTCAGGGATGCCAATCTAGCATCAAGGACATATTAGCACAATGAGGAAGCAGGAGCAATAGCCAGAGGCCCCCTCCTGGGAAGCTGTGGTGGAGAAGAAAAGTAGGTGGTGGGGAGTGGCGAACATTCGAACATTCGGGAATAGAATGTGGCTTGGGCTGGAGAACAAGTTAGGGGTGAGGGGAGGGGGGAATTAGGCCCGGGAGAAGGGTGGAGAGGCCAAACAGAGGCCCAGAAGGGAAGAATAGGCCCCATGGGGGAAACGAGGCTGCTTTAAAACACACCAAGTCTGGTATATAGTTTAGTCCAGAGCTCAGGAGAGGCAGGACCTGAAAACAAGTTTTCAGACACTGGGGTGGACTAGATTCCCTTAGGAAAGCCAGTGGAGGCTCTGCTCAATGCCTTGGTCACTGCCCAAACTCTGGGGAAAAACTGTTCAGAGAGAGTTTCGGGAGAGAAGTGAGATTGAGGAATCCGAGGAGGGCCCCCGAGGCAGGGCGAGGAGAGAAAGGTCCTCCTGAGACGACGGCGGGAGAGAAGGTCCCCAACACCAGCTGCAGCCCAGGCTGAGTCCGGAGCTGGTTACACTCCGGTCAGAAGGAAGCTGCGCACACACCTCTGTCCTCTTTTAACTGTTTATTGTATAATATAAAACTACAAAAGTAAGACTGCTCATTTCCATGTACATTTCATCCGTCCAATTGTTTCGATTACAGCCCAAACCTACACATGAATACAGCCATCTGGGTTCCAATGTAACGTCTGTAATATTGCATAGAAAAGGCACAGCTCTCAGGTCTGTAGGGGGGAAAGGTTACACTTCCTTGTTAGACAGAAACCCTCCTCAAAAACCACGCACCAAATTCACTCGGTACATCTTTTCCAAAATCTCGGTTGTTTGCTTGTATGGACTGCACTTCTCTTCCAAACTTATTATCTCCAAAAGATGTCCAAACATCTTTAATGGCTTTGTCTGCAATAGCATTTGATCCTGGCTAAATTTCCAAGAAACATTTAAGACTCATTCTTAGAAGCACTTGAAAACAATGGTACACAAGCAGCAACATACACCTCGCTGTTATGTCGCCAATTACAGGAAGTTAACCAGAATAGGTCAGATATGTTCTTTTGGATATCTTCATTAAAGATAGAAAGGCCCAATTTGTAACAGCAAGGTTTTTAAATTAAGACAATTCATGTAAAATTACCCATCGCTACTCAAGGTAGAATCTCCTTTTCTTTTTTTAAAACACATTTGTCATTTAAGAAGACTGCCTAGGGGTATTCATAATTCATTGTTTGCCACAAAAGTGGTTAATAAATTTAAGCTTTTAAAAACGATCTGTAAGTTGATCCTTTGGCTCTTTGGAGCTTATTTAGGTAAGAAATTTTCCTTGATTGACCTCAGGGCCGTTGGGGGAACGCCAAGGGGCGATGGCAATAAGAAGTTCAATTGATAAAGACACTCGAGGTGTAGGAGGTGCGGTAACGGAGGCTCTGGCTGGTTCTCACCTTATGGGTGAGCAAGGGTGTCGTGGCGTTGCCCCTTTTGTCCCAGAGAGAAAGTGCTACTAAAAAAAAAACAAAACATTTAAAAATATCAATCCTTTGATGCTTGATTTTCTTTAAAAATTTGGAGGTATTGAAACTTCCCTCACCCATACCTTTTTGCATATTTCAAATAGACCCAACATTGGAGAAGAGAGTACACATGAATGTAGACTGGGCGTATGATGAGACAACCCGGGGGGCCTGGCTAGGACCCCCCTTTTTTTTAATACAGATTTGACATTCCTACAAGAGAATACATTCCTACCATACATTCTGCACATGTTACGATCCAGATGTTGTTAGAGCTCCACAGTAAAATAAATATATTTACACAGAAAAAAAAGGAAAAAAAAAGGAATAAATAACTTATGGGAAAAAAAATCACTTCAAATTCAAAGCTCTTAATATTCTGCTCTCATCTTGTCACTTCATTGCACATCACTGTCAATGGGTGTCCGCGAGCAGCCCCACCCGGCGTGTCTTCCTCGTGTGGGCACCTCGAACTGCCTGCCCGACTCCGAATGCCTCGCGATGCCCACTGCACGGGGGGAAGGCTCGTCCCGCACGCACACGGGGGCGTGCGGAGCGCACACGGGCTCACACGCTGCCCCGTTTCAGACATCGCTTTGGAAAAATAAGACGGAGAGGTAACGAACACTGGATGGTTTTGTTCTTTTTAAACCGCGCTGCCGATGGCCCAGGTCTTCCTCAGAAGACCATGAGTATCGAGCCTTTCTGGCAAGGGTGTCCAGAGCTGACAAGCATTTGCCTGATGTTAGGGGTGTGTTTTGTTTTGATTTTTCAAGACCCAGACTTACAAACATTATAAAGTCCGAGAAATCACGTTTGGGCAACACTTCGCTGTGCTTATTTGAACTGTTGCCCAACATATGGGATTTGTTTAAGCACACCATTTGCTAATCCAACCAAAGTACAGTTGTTCTAAGTTACTGTAAATCAGCTCTTAACAATGGCAAATCAACCGCCCTTACCCCGTTATTGTTCGGAATAATCAACACTACGGTGTATGTATACCTGTGTGCAGTGTGGGGAGTTCGCCGGGTCCTCCAGTTATCAAAGGCGTGGCCTCTGGGCTGGCTTGTTCTCCACAGAAAAAGGAAGCTCTTGAGACGGGCAGGCCCAGCGACACTGGAAGCATTTGCAGCAACCCTCCCCTCACCTATACATGGTCCCTGGTCCTATCACAGGAGGTGACACGTGTGGAGGCTGCTGGTAGGAGAACAAGAGCAATTGGATCTGTTTCTCACTGCTCTACTGAGCTGATAATTAGCCTTTAAAGACACATTCACGTGGGAGGGGGGAGGGGCGGGGAAATAAATTAGAATGTAGATGGAATCACACCATACACGATGAATCTTTTGATTTAGATGAGCAGTTCCTTCATCACAAATGGATTTGTTCTGCCATGTGCATTATAAAAATAAAACTATCTATGGCTTGTTTAAAGTGCCATTTTATAAAGCTGTCTTTTTTTTTTTTTTTTTTTTTTTTTTTTTTTTTAATTGGCCAGAAAGACTCAATTTGATCCATGGCAAGAAGTGAGCAGAATTGGGTGACTGAATATGGACAAATGACTAACAACAAAGATAACAACAACAACACAAATCCCATAATTTAAAAATTCTTAAATAAATATAAAAGTTATTCCTAAAGAAGCCATCTGCATTTCAAAAATATAGGATGTAACCAGCGAAAGTACCATTGGAAGAAAGAAAACAACTGAAAGGGGAAAAAAGGCCATCAACAATGTCGGCAACAAGCATGATACATTGCAAACATTTTAAAATTAAATGTACACCGTCAGGAATAAAAGGCTACTTCTCAAGTGTCCTGGTTCGGGGTGACGGGGGTGACGAGGGGAGGAGGAGGTGGAGGAACATGCATAGAAAGTCCTGTGTAATTGGGGTACAACAGCCTTGTAAAATGTGGTTATAGCAGCTGATTATAGAAAGCAACCAGACTGGAAGCTGTGACATAATGGGACCAACTCCTGGTTCCAGGGCCAGGGTTGCTTCAGGAGTGCATCCCGGGCTGGGCCGAGGGGAGCAGAGCTGGCTCACCTTGGCGATAGATCCTGAAGATGCCATTTTCAGCACTTAGCAACCGGTGGAGAAGCAAAGCTCTGGGGAAGGGAAGCTGGAAAAGACAATCGGGCAGCATGATGGATGCCTTCTGGGGGAGATTTTTTTTTTTTTTTTTCCTTCTAGGAGCCCTAAGCATTGCAAAAGGGTTTAGATCCAAGAAGAGGTGGGTTGCTTTTCATAAAATTTTGTTCACGTGTAAAATTTCAGGTCATCGTAAAAATTACGCCAAAAAAGTAAAGACTTGGGTTTTGTTGTTCTTTTAAAAAAATGAAAATAAAAACAATTAAACGCGCAAACTTGGCATAAATACAGTGAAGATTCGGTAGTCTTCCCCTCAAGAGAGGGAGTGAAAGAGAACCATCACTTAAGCCCCCCGAGCTCCACGGCCACCTCCCGCCAACTGCTTAATGCAAGTTTGATGAGCAGATGTGGCTCTGGCTTTGGAAGTCACAGTGCTGGCGGGCGTTCATGCCAGGAGGCCGGTGCTTGTGAAATTTGGGTGTGATAGTGCCTGGCCCTTTGTTAAAGCGCTGTGTGTGTGTGTGTGTGTGTGTGTGTGTGTCTGCATTTGGGGGACGTTAACTGCAGATTGATTTGATCCAATTTCCTCTTTGCACCAGACACATATAAAACATTACAATGCTATAAAAGTACAAGTGCAACTTGTACATCTGAAGTTTTGCAGGAACTATGTGAGCAAATCCTATCAAAATAGCTATCTCATATGTATAAACAGCATTTGTTTTTTTAGAAAAACAATATCATAAACTGCAGAATTTGTACAAAAATATAAAATAAATTTGGGCAGCAGTTTTCTAAACAGCCATGTAAATGCAACACTTACGAGGAGTTAATGCCTCTAAAAAGGCTGAATTGCCAAGTCAACCTATACAGGGCAGAAAATGCCAGAAAAGGTACTGAGATTATCTAAATAATAATAATAATATATATATTTATATATATATATATAACTTTTTTCTTTGTTTTACCTCTTGCAATAAAACTTATAGAAAAAATAGACAAATATGCACATGCAATTTACAGCTTTCCCATCTTATTCCTTTGTGCTTCGCTTTGAACTGTTTTATGTTTGCCATTCCGTTATAGCGACATTGTCTTCAAACGTATTCTCTCCTATTCCCGGGGAAGGAGGTCTCTGAGGAACCACTTGAACAAAACAAAAAAAAGTGTATTAAAAGTGGTCATACTTGGATGAAGGCACTCCAACGCTGCTCAAAGCAAAAAAAACAAAACAAAAACAAAAAACCAAAAACTAGTGTGATCCTTTTGTAAAACGTTCTTCTCCTCTGAAAAAAGGCAAGCAAGGCTGCATGCACAGTGCGGAGAGCTGTGGGGCGCCGGGACACTAGCAGGGTCTGGGCGGGAGGGGGCTGGGGCTCGGCCGGTCTCCGGGATGGGGGTGGGGGGGCGGGCGCACCCCCCCCTCCCCCGGGTATTAGGACCCCACAAGCACCTCCATGATGTGGTCCAGCTCCGTGAGGTCCATTTTGAAAGGCTGGCTCGGGGCGACGGGCTGGCTGCTGTAGGGGGCCAGGGTCTTGAGGAGGTCGTCGGCGGACACGGGGGCCACCTTGGAGGCGGCGCCCGCGGCCGAGGTGCAGGGGTCGAAGTCGTACATGGACGTGTCGATGTCGGCGAACAGGATGTCGTCCAGGGTCAGGTCCGTGAGGAAGCCCGTGGACGTGGTGACCTCGAAGTTCCCGGGCAGGGAGTCCATCAGCTTGGGGTCGTCGGGGCGGGCCTCGGGGAGCAGCAGCCCGTCGGGTTTCGGGGGGGCGGCGCCCCCTTTGGAGCCGTCGGTGGCGGCGGCGGCGGCGGCGGCCAGGGTGGCGCTGGCGGCGGCCTGGGCGGAGGTAGGTGTGGGGCAGAGCTCCTCGATCTCGTCCAGGGCGGAGGAGAAGCTGTCCTTCTCCGGCGGGAGCGCCGGGGACGGGAGCCTGGCGGGGGCCGCGGGCTGCACCGCCGCCGCCGCCGCCGCCGCCGGGGAAGTGCAAAACGTGTCCTGGTCGCCGTCGTCCTCCAGCAGCGAGGCCGGGGTGAGGCAGGCCTCCAGCGGGGCCGGGTCCCCGGGCGGCGCCGCGGGGCCGGGGGCGGGCGGGGGCGCCTCCCGGCAGCCGCCCAGGCCGCCCGGCGGGGCGGGGGCCGCGGCGGGCGCGGGGCCCGCGGGCCGCAGGCTGCCCTCCCGCCGCAGCTCCTCCTGGATGCGCCGCAGCATGTTGTTGATGAGCACCGTCCGCTGCAGGCTGGGCTCGCTGAGCGGCCGCTGCTGGTAGAGCTTCATGAGGGAAATGTTGAAGATGGTCTGGCGCTGTAAGGTGTACGACACCTTGGACGGACCGTCGGAGGGAGACAGGATTTTGCCTTCCAGCCCATCTTCATGCTCATCAAACTTCCGCTTTCCTCCTTTGCCCAACATAAATCTGGCGGAGGAGAGAGGAGGGAAATGGGAGTCAGTCACGGGGAAACTTACTGCTGCCATAAAATAAAATGAAAAAAAAGACGCCGGTTCGGAGGTCAGGACGTGAATAAATTATATGTATATATATATATATATATATATATATATATATATATATATATATATATATATATATATATATGTGTGTGTGTGTGTGTGTGTGTGTGTGTGTATATATATATATATATATATATTTTTTTTTTTTTTTTTTTTCTCATAGAGAAGGGAGAGGGATAGAGTTAGAAACACCGATGAGAGAGAAACATCGATCAGCTGCCTCCTGCACACCTCCCACTGGGGATGTGCCCGCAACCAATGTATGTGCCCTTGACCAGAATCGAACCTGGGACCCTTCGGTCCGCAGGCCGACGCTCCATCCACTGAGCCAAACCGGCTTGGGCCAGGATGTGGACTTCTGCTAGCCCCTCGCCCGGGCTTTGCTGGAACAAATGGGTTAATTGGGGGAAGACTGGAGCGAGGTCCAGAGAACTGCAAAGTCCGCTTTTGCATGCCCGCAGAGCAATATTAGTCACCACGCGGTCCGGGTAAATGTACTTCCTGGGAAACGTGTAGGACCCGGACAAGTTAGTTACCATGGAAACCGTGATTTTTACTTTCTCAGCTCCTGCTCTTGCCTGGCGTTATACCATGCAGGTTCACTCTCCCTCCCCCCGGAACAGATTTATTTTTAAAGCCCACGAAAACACAATGCCATGACCCAGAGACAGATCAAGGTGTCGCAGGTCGCGGCGTGAACACGTCTCGGGCGACGAGAAGAGCCCGCGTGGAGGAACACGCACTGTGCCGGTGGGACTGCTTGTGCTTCCCGAACGCCCTTTCCTCCCTCATCGTGCACAGAGGCCTTCTGTCTGTCTGTCTGTCTGGCGACACGTGGGGAAGCACTTGGCCTGAGCTAAATGACCACAGGGATTAGGCTGCCAGTCCAGAATCCAGTGGAAGAATGTGGGTTTCCCTGCCCGAGCGTTTCCGTGGCTCAGTGTCGCTGCAAACAGTTAGGTCTGAATGCAGGCGGACTGACTGGGAAGTAATGTGCTCTGATGACAAAGCATTGCTCTTTGGATACTCGAGGCATTTCATGACAAAACACTTACTGTGAGTCCAGATACACACACACACACAGGTATTTCAAAGCATCGGCACTCTTATCATAGCTCAGACCTTGAGCATTTGGGAGTGGGTGGGGCTTTAGCTCCTGCCCGCCTTGGGGGGCGCTCACAGCCGAGGCTGAGGGGCCTCCTGCCTGCCCTGGCCCCAGTCAGCACCCCTTCAGCTGGCTGCCCCTTCCTCTCAGAGCCTCTCCCATCTCAGCAGGACAAGCGCGAGGCCCCTGGCCTTTGCCTCAGAGACCTTCACTTCCGACTGTTTAGCCGGGGATGCTGTCCCCCTGCCGCCCAGCCCGGGAGGCGGGCTCTGGGCCACGCCGTGCTTGCTCTCTCCCTCCTGCAGCCGTCACCGCGGACACGTGGGAACGCTCTCCTCAGCGCCACACGCTCGCTCAGATGTCTTCATGGACGAGCACGTGCTCTGCAGTTATCCAGTCTCTCTTCTCACGGCGACTGGCCTTTTACTGCATCGTTCCGGCCGATTCTGACGGTACCTTATTCAATCCCTTCATTAACTCATTCCGCATCTCTGCTGCCTTGGGCTCTCTGCCAGGCAGCCGGTCCCTCGGGAAGAAAGCCTGGTCCTCCAGGGGCTGAATAATTTCTCCTACGCCTCGTTATCATTTTGAATTATGAGCCGCATCCTAAAGGAATAAAGCACGCCACAGTGAAACTCCAGAAACTCCTCCCAACGCTTTGTGAGAGAAGGCCACGCCGTCCCCGGAGGCGGGCAGACGTGCAGGTGGGCACAGAGCCTGGCACACAGGTCCCACCGGAGGTGGCTACCTCCCCGGGCCCCAGCCTCGAGGAGAGAAAGACGAAGACAGCTGCAACACATCAATGTCGGAATCGGCTCGAGAATCTGTTAGTGCTCATGAAAATGCGGAGTCCCTTGTGTGAAACACTTGTCAGCATTTCATAAACATTAAGAGAATGTCTGTCCATCACTAGAACCAAAGACCAGTCTCATAATGAATTGCTCCCTAAGGCAAGGGAGGTAAGATAGTGACAGCTTGCTTACCTAACGCCTCACACGACAAACATTTCCTGCTCTGCGGTGCTAAAAGTCTCATTTGTATATGTACTTTGCATAGAACATTTCCTATCTGAAGTGTCTGTGCCCGTTTAAACGTCAGCATGAATCCGAGAGGAAGTGATTTCGTTTCACATTACGAAACACTTTCTACTTTATGCTTTTAGAAGTGCTACTGGACCGCTGTGTTTTGAAACAGGTAACTGTGTTCACGATGACACTGAGTGGCCAGATTATTATATTAGAGGCCTGTGGGGGGCTGTTCCTCTGTTTTCCTCGACCCGCATGGAAAACGACAGGTTCCTGAGTGGAGGAGCTGGGGATTAAGAAATTAAAGGAAAAAAGGGACCAAGACACAGAAATAGATTCAAGCTGGGACCCAGGCGGGGGTATGCCACTCTGATGGAGAGACAGTCAACCACCCACCACAGACAACACTGTGCATTTATTTATTTCCAAAAGAATAAAGGGAGGTTTCCCTGAAAAGCTTAGAATCAAAGGAGTTTTGGGTGTGCCCAGGTCCTATTCATTCCCTCATTCCAGGCACGTGGATAAAGATAGGAAATGGGTACTGATAACCGGCTCCCACATTTTGGGGAAACGTTCCCAGGGCGTGGCTCTGCCTATGCCTTGAGTTCAGCTGATGATAATTAAAGGTCATCCATGTGCATTCCCAAGGGGGGCGCTCTACAGAGGCCCAGTGCATGAATCCATGCATGGGTGGGGTCTGGCCAGCCTGGCCAGGAGAGGACAGAGGACACGGGTGCTTGGCCAGCCTGCCTGCTGGTCGAACTCCTGGTCCAGGGGACAATTTGCATATTAGCCTTTTATACACTGAGTGGCCAAATTATTATGTGTTCAGAGATCATAATAATCTGGCCACTCAGTGTATACTGTTTGAATTTGCTTACAATTTAAGCATCTAAATACTTTCAGAGAAATTCCGCTTTTGCCAAAGAGCTCCAAGTGCACTTAGTTCTCATATAAAGCTGTTAGAGATCTATTTTATATATCATAATGTGAATAGACCCAAGACATTTAAACATGTGTGACAGAGTAGACAAGTGCATACATGCAACAGCAAAAGGATCAGCCTCTCTGACTCCATCTTGGTCAAGCCTGCTTTGTTCCACGGCCTTCAGGCCTATGGCATCGGTTTAGTTTAGCATATTGAAATGCTAATCATTAGAGGAATCCTTGAGTTTTTTTAAAAAAACACCCCCTTACCAGAAGGTGCCTCTCCCAAGGAGATAAGGGAGGTAAAAATGGTTTATCAAAGATTTGCAGGAACCTCTTGGCTGGACTCACAGCAACTAGGATCAACAGAGTCAACAATCTTCCTCAGACCCTTGCTGGCACTTGTCTTTGGTAATCACTTCTCGCCGCTCCCCTTGCCCCTTCCCTTGATATAAAAGAAGCCTGAACTCTATACCTTCTTAAGATGGATTTGAGACACCAAAACATCTCCCATTTTTCTTGGTTGCTACCTTCTCAATTAATACCCCCTTTTTTTTTTACTCCAAACTGATGTTTTGAGTTTGGGCCTTTTGAAGCACTAGGCACACATAATTTAGACCGGTAGCATAAACAAATACTCTAAAATGGTGCTTCTCAGAGTGTGGTCCACTGATGGTCTGTGAACTGTTACTGGTCCATGATGAGGTAAGTAGAAATTGTATATTATTGAGAAACTTTTATAGTAAATGTAAGAGTAACTGTATGATGATTCTATTTTTACATCTTTGTACTTTTCATTTCTCTAGCCATCATTTTTCTTGTATTTTACTAAAGTATGAGTCTATGAAGGAGGAAGGAATCCAACAACATGTTTCTTTAGGAACACTGTCCTAACATGTAAACCAAATGCACAACTGAAACAAATAGTAAGCTCGTCGCCACTTCGAATCTTACTGGCTTTCCTGAGGAAAGGTAGCTAAGGCAGTACAGACGACGTGTCCTTCTCTTTTAGTCACTGATATAGAACTGTCTTCTAAAGATTTGTTTCTGAAACAAATAACAGGACTTTTTTTTTTCAATCACTCACATTTCTCTAGAAATAATCACTGAATCCTGGAACTCAAATACTGACAGAGCGTTCAGTACTGTAGGCATCTAGCAGAATTCCCGGAGCTGAAGAGTACTTTCAGAGAGATTCCCACGTGAGAAGCACCTCATTTCCAATGAGAACGATTCGGCGGGTCATAGCTGTGTGATGACCAATGCTTTCGGAAAAGCTCATCAGAAATATATAAGCTGTTTGGATGGGGAAGGAGGAGGGCCCGTGTAAGCAAAATCTGTGAGCAGGAATAGACAGAAAAAAAGAAAAGAAAGAATCCTGGATGCTTTTCAAATGAGTCAATAAGGATCCATGACAGAGTATGTCTCAAAGCAGGTCTGCCTTCATTTGTCCGTTTCTCTTTATGAGGCAGAACTGGCCCCACACACCCAGTACGATTGTGAAATGCACCCAATCAGGATGTGCAATCCCACGTCTGCCTACATCTTTACAGGCAGGAATAAAAGGCAACGTCACGAAACCTAGTCCACGTTTTTTTTTTATTTAAAAATCGATTTTAAAGTAAAAAGCTTATCCAAAGTTTGCTTCATCCTGTCTGGGATCAGGTCTTCCCACGCACTGTTTGCGGAAGAGGCCTCCGACTCCCAGAAGTGGGAGGACGTGGGGAGAACTCACTCTCACGGCGCATTACCCTCCTCCTCCTCCTCCTCCTCCTCCTCCTCCTCCTCGGAGCGGGGCACCCTTCAAACAAGAAAAGACAAGCCTCTCCAGAAGCCGAGGGCGAAAAGCCAGCAATCGGGCATCTCGGGGCCTGAGCCCAGGTGGGCCCCAGCCGGGAGAGGCAGCTCCTCTCAGACTCTCGCCTGAGGCCCCGCACGCACGGAGTAACAGCAGCTCAGGGAGCAGCTGCCGAGAGGCTCGTGACCTTGGGAAGGGCCTGGCCGGGCTGCGGCCAGAAGACAAGCAGCAGCTGGAGCTCACTGAGGGCTTCCAAGGGGGGTTCCTGTCTCAAAGGCCCAGAGGAGGGGCTGTGACCAGCCGGGTTTCTAGCCACCCTGAGGTGGGACATCCCCACTCCGTCTCTCCCCCCCCCCCCCCAGCTTCAAAGACCCAAAAGGGAATCTGGGCTTCAGGGCTTGTTAGAGACCCCCGAGAGGAGGATGGGGGTGGGGGCTGCCTCCTTTTTTTTTTTTTGCCCATGTGAACCACAGGCACTCTTCCTTAGAATAGTTTGCAAATAAGACGCCTTCCCTTCTCCTGGCTAATGTTCTTTTTCTTTTTAAAAAAAATATATTTAATTGATGTTTTACAGAGAGGAAGGGAGAGGATCGAGTGAGAGAAATATCGATGAGGGAGAAACATGGGTTAGCTGCCTCCTGCACACCCCCTACTGGGGATGTGTCCACAGCCAACGTAGATGCCCCTGTCCGGAATCGAACCTGGGACCTTTCAGTCCGCAGGCCGACGCTGTAGCCACTGAGCCAAAAAGGTTAGGGCTAATTTTCTTAACATGATTGTTAGCAGCTATTAACGACAGCAAAGTTTTGAAAATACAGAACAAAACTCACAGGAAGCAATATAAATGAAAACTGCTCTCTCAAGAGTTTTCCATGAAGTTTAATTCTGAATAAAACTCAATACACTGAGTCTGGCTCCCCGTTGTGCAGCTTTCATTCAGAAGGACCAGGCTGCCCTCAAAAGGGAGGGAGGGAGTGAGGAGGAGAGGTGCGCCCGGCTGAGGGAATTCCCGGGACCCAACACAGAGGGAGGCAGGCAGCTCTCTCAGCACGCTCTCTCTCCCCTCGCTCTCTCCTGTGACAGCCTCTTTGAGTTCTGGAATTTGAGTGAGCATCAGACTCACCTGGGGGCATGTTAACACAGAAGGTAACCCCAAGATTCTCATCAGCAGGTCTGGTGTGGGGCCCAAGAAATCTCACCTCAAGAACCATGACACCCCCTTCCCCCCACAACTGGCCATTTCACGTTTAAGCCTGAGAATATCTCTACTCAATTAAACCAGAGTCCGAAGGTCTTCCCCATTCCTGCCTAAGCAAGGAAGGAATGAAAGAACAAACAGCGTTTTTGTGATGGCAACCGCCAGCTGGCATTGAAAAGAAGGCTATGCAGAGTTAAGATGTCTTCAGCTCAATGTTATCGATAAAGTGCAGCTTCTCCGACTGACACATCCGATTCCCCTGGCTCATGGGCCCAGATTCTTCTGAGATCTCAGAGTGAATGAACGGCAGCGAGTAAGGCCTGTGCCCAAGGTCCAAAAAGGAACGGAAACATTCAAGTTAAATGTTTAAATTAAACATTAAACAATTAAAAGGGTAACTTTTTTTTTTTTTTTGCATTTTAAGGCATTAAGTATTATTAAATGTATTTAAAAAACCCACGTGATCAAAAAAAGTTCTCTAATTCCATGTTTTAAAACTACATATTCAAGCTATGATTTAAAAAAAAAATTTTAAACCCCTCTGTCCTTTAATGTTATTTGGACTGTAAAAATAAATGTCATGATTTTTTTTTTAAATATATTTTACTGATTTTTGTACAGAGAGGAAGGGAAGGGAGAGAGATAGTTAGAAACATCAATGAGAGAGAATCATCGATCAGCTGCCTCTTGCACACCCCCTACTGGGGATGTGCCCGCAACCAAGGTACATGCCCTTGCCTGGAATCGAACCCGGGGCCCTTCAGTCCCCAAGCCGACGCTCTATCCATTGAGCCAAACCGGTCCCCGCAAATGTCATGATTTTTAAATTAAAAATATTAAATCAGGCCTGGCTGGTATGGTTCAGTGGTTGAGCATTGACCTATGAACCAGGAGGTCATGGTTTAATTCCGGGTCCGGGCACATGCCTGGGTCACAGACTCAGTCCCCAGTAAGGCAGCTGATCAATGATTCTCTCATTCTCTCTCTCCCACTCCCTTCCTCTCTGAAATTAAAAAAAAAAAAGTAAAATAAAGGATATTATGTTTACTTCTGTCAGCCCCACTAACAACAAAACCCATTGCTCTAAACTGCAGGCTCACCACAGCCCTCATTGGCCACAAGTGCCCCCTAGAGGCCCAGAGCCTGGTAGCCACTGAGTGACAGGCCCCTAAAGACTGAGGGCAGCATTCCTGCTGGGCTCCTGAGAGACCTGAATGGGGAGCTCTCCTCAGCCCATAACCAGGCTGCCTTCCTGACTCTGTGCTGGTCCCAAAAGATGGGAATATTGCATGTGCTTCCACCTAACTCACCCCAGGCAGAAGGAAAGCCATCCATCTCATCCTACGCCATACCCAGGTCTTTAGAGGGGGTCAAGGCGGACAGCTTGGTCCCGGTTTCTGAAGGGAGCAAATGACTGGGACAGGTGGGACCGATCACATGGTCAAAAGGCAGCCGAGAGGTGAGTGAGGTGCTTGGCCCTGTGCCCGTGGAGGGTGTGACAACGGCTCTCAGCTCCCCACCGCCCAGAAGCGAGGATGGGTGACGGGGGAAACCCGGAAGTCATTGCTTTTAAACAACTCACAGCTCCACTGGCTCCTACCTTGTGCACATTTTCAAGAGCTTATTCCAACTTCCTTTTGGACTAATAAACAACAACTAGAATCTAGTGGTTTCCCTTCTCGGAAGTGGAGCAGGCTTCGCGATGAAGCGACATGTCCTTTCAGAAGCCGGCTGACCAGGCAGCACTAAGCCGAGGGAGGGTCTGCCGCCGGGGAAGGGTGGCCTCGCAGGGCAGCGGCGTCTGTGGAGCTGGCCACACTCGGCCTCCTCGCCTGGGCGGCCAAGACACTCGTGTTTGCTTGGGTGTAAGTCACTGGCCTATGTACTTAGGATCTGTACGCTATACTTAAAAATACAACACAAAACAGCCGAAACCAGTTTGGCTCAGGGGTAGAGCGTCGTCGGTCTGCAGACTGAAAGGTCCCAGGTTCGATTCCGGTCAGGGGCATGTACGTTGGTTGCGGGCACATCCCCAGTAGGGGGTGTGCAAGAGGCAGCTGGTCCATGTTTCTCTCTCATCGACGTTTCTAGCTCTCTATCCCTCTCTCCTCCTCTCTGTAAAAAAATCAATAAAATATATTTTAAAACAAAACACAACCTTTTTAACCCTAGTTAATAGCTCTCAAAAAAAAAGGCGCCTAATTCAAAAGGGAGCTGTAAGAAGCCACATCCCCAATCTCTTCAGCCCCACTGCCCAGGGCGACGAGTGTGGCCGGAGCAGCGTCCAGAAGTGCAGCGCTGACACGGCCCAGCTCAGGGAGGAGGCGGCGATGCCCTCAGCTCGGAACAAGGGCCTGTCCCCCCGGACCCGCCTCGTCGGGAGAGAGACGCTCAGCAGCGGTGACGGGTCTCCAAAGAGGCCAGCGGAGGCCATGTCCTCACGCTGACATCCTGTGTCACCAGAACCCCAAGTCCTTCACGTGGACACTCATTCTTCCCGCTTCTCCCAGGGGCAGAGGCAGAGGCAGAGGCGGAAGGAAGGGGCGCCCTGGCAGCATTGTTTTGCACGAGACAGACTTCCAAGACCCGGAGAGAGAGGGAGGAGGCCGGCCAGAAATGGCTTTGAGACAGACGGCCTCTGAAACGGAATGCTCCCGTTTCTGCTCTCTCACCCCGCAGGCAGGCGCTGTAGGGTGTGTTCTGCACCCTGCTTCAGAGGTGTGGTCCCCACACCCAGCCTCTGCTCCCCGCAAGGACACCTCCCCAGCAGCCAGGGCCTGAGCCTCGGTGCTGCCCGCGGCCTGCCACGCTCGGGCCGGGAGGAAAAGCTGCTCCTGCTTCCGTGGGGAAGACACGTTTGCTCGGACAGCTTTCTCCGCGGTCAAAATAGGACGCCTTCAAAAACACACGGCACTCGGCACCCTCCCTCCCCCGAGGTGCCACAGAACACGCCAGGAGAACGCGAAGGCCGCCCCGGAGGACACGGCGGGGGTGGTGCCGGCAGGAGGGGCGAGGAAGCTCAGAGAAGGACCCACGGGTGTGTGACGCTGTGCGTGGCAAGCGCAGGAGTGAGAGTGTGCCCTCCGCCCGCCCCGCCCCCCGCATCTGGGTGGCAATTTGGTGAGCTTCCAGAAAAAAAGGGGGACCAGCACCCCCAAAGGCTGCCTTCAGACTCTAAAGTGGCTGCCTCTGGCCTAGAGGAATGGCAGATAACAGGAGCAACATTTCACTGGGAGTGGGGGGGGGGGGGGAGCCTCTCATTTACAGACAAGAGTAGGGGCTCCCAGAAGACGAGGGATGTCAGGGACAGAACCCCTCACGCTGCCCCGCATGGGCTTTGTTCCTTCCACACCGAAGCTCATCCAGGCGAGGTCCCTGCAGTCACAGCCACGCTAATTGGTGAGGAAGACAAAGCCTCCCCTAACAAATCAGCCATGTCATTAGGAAGCCAGGCCCCAGACGCAGCCAGTGGGGCGGCGAGGGTGCGAGGCTGCGGCTGTAACCCGACACCCGTGTGCGGCCCGCCTGCCCGCCCCCCCCCCCTGCGCGGGGGCTCCAGCTGCGGGCACCGCACCGGCTGCTGCCCGGCAGTCAGCAGACAA